GTATCGCAGAATGTGATCGGTTCAATAACACGCGTTTTGGAACGGTAAACACATAACCGAGCCGACACCGAGACTCGGCTCGCGTCAATCACCATATAAGAGAGGCAGAGTGGTGGTAGTTTACTTTGGTGCGTACCAAGTTCCTCGCCACATGCTTGGAGAAGCCGAAGGAACGTAATAGAGCGGAAGGGTGGAACACCCAAGAGCGAAGAGAAACGCCAAAGAGAGGCAGCGCGAGGGAACGTCACGTTACGTTCCACGGCGGAGTGACGTTTCTAATGCGAAACTAAGAAATTAGAACAGTCGCGCTGTCTAATGAGATACTAATTGCGCCGCATTCTCGTTGTATTGACTCGACCGGGGATCAGATAAACATGACTCCGACCGAGGGAAAGTGTGTGAAACATGTCCGTGAGATTTAATCGAATTGCTAAATTCACGTGTCAGGAAATGCTCCCGATGACGAGTGGAACGATTAAAATCTATAATATCTATTAGAGTCGTTGAGAAAATATTTGTAAGCCGATCCGAGAATGCCTGATATGATATCTAATCACGCGTGCATTTCGTAGATAAGAGAAATCATAATTATTATTTATCTTTAATTAAAGAAATACCGATTATATAGATTTTAGATAATTTGATATATATTTATATAAGTGTGGCGAAAAATTATAGAGAGAGCCGTCTTTGAATTCAATTAGTTTCCATAAATTAGTCAGCAAAGTTATCTGCTTTAAAATAAATCTTGAGGGTTAAATGTCAAATGTACATCTAGCACAAAATCGCCAAGGGGAATATAATTTATGATAGCACAAGCAATCAGACATAGCATTTCTTACCCTTATATCTCAACGCGTTCAACAAGGCACGATAATGTCATGCATTTGAAAATATACGGTCGGAACAGACTGCACGCGCGGATAAATAATGCGGAAGAGAGTATGCGAAAAAAAACGCACACGGAAATGCGCAGCTTTTCGCATATCAGAAGGAAGCCGCGAGCGAGACACATTTCAACCCTAACAATCCCTATTATTTTATAATGGGGAATATAAGCATTTTTATTTTACATCTAAAAGATTTTTTTTTATTTTGTTTAAAATTAATCGCGAACATTTTGTATCTTATTGTGGTAAATATTAATCAGAGAAGCTCTTATAAAATTCTTCCAATCTCATATTGTCTCACTATTACCATATATGATTTTCAGGGTAAATTCTAAGAGAATGCTCTCGGTGCATAATTGGAAAGTCGAAGGAATGCTAAAAATAATATTACGTTACGGAAATAGGGCTCGTATTATATACATGTTCTGCGTCAGAACTGTAGTAAAGTGTCGAAAATATCTTACATTAGCTTTCATGAAAACGCGATCGACGTCGATCTTTTCTCGGCTGGTTTTAGGCTTCGTGAGACCCCCACGGGGCTTTTTCGCGATCGCGAATGATTGCAAGTGATCGCACGTTAGCGCTGAATCCGATTACGAGATGTGTATCTTCAGAGTCCGTCGAGTGGGAGCCAAACCGCTCGTTAAATACATTGTGCTACATATGCGCTCTCGCATCTTCGCGCCAGTTTTGCAGCCCGCGGAGTCTGCAAGCGGTTCGCGTGAAACGCGTTCGCGCTATCGTGGGAAAGAGACGTTCCGATAGAGAGACGGACGATTACACGTCGTTCGCGGTACGAAGAGAGGCCCGTAATTGCCGTAATGGTGATTCGAAATAAACGCTTCTCGCTCACCGCGAATTCATTGATTAATGATATCTGGCCGGCCAATTGCGCCAATTGCAAATCAACGCGAATCTTCACGCCGCTCTTTTAATTCGATTAATCGTCATCACGTCGCGCGTCGGAATATCTTCACCGGCGTCGTTATTATATGCCACGAAATTATAATCCTAATGAAAACGTTATCAATTTTCCCTGCAAGCTAATAACCGATAAATCGATAATCATAAGGTAGACTTCAAAGGCAAATCATGCGTATCGAGATAAATCTATTTCAACTTGTCATGTTTCATAAGTTCTACACGTGCTTTCCTTTTCGCAATGTTTGCTCCATATATTTCTTCACGATTTTCTACACACGTTATATAAATCATATCCTCACCGCGAGCATGATACAATATATATAAACCTATATTGGAAGCTTAATAATTAATAAGAATGTGTTGTAGGCATTAGCTACGTGAAAAACAACAGTTTAAATAATAAACTACTACATTAATATTTAGTCTTACAGCGATCACTATTACATATTTTACGTAATATTTTGTTTGGCATTCATTTGCAGTTGAAATCAGGAGAAATGTATCTACATATGTGAATACGATAATTTGAACATTGTTTAATTTTAAAAATATATAATTAAAACGCGAATTGCTTATAAAATCTCCTTTTAAGAGACATTTTTATTTTAATTTTGTAAATTATTATCGTGCAGTTTTGCGATTTCAGAAAATATAATTTTATATTTTCACAAATATCCTTCGGTGTTCCAAATCCAATTTCTATAATTTATCTACAAAATGACGAACGCGACAAACGCGTTAACAGCTGATCGATGACACGGCTTGGCTACCGGAGTTCTGCACACGTGCCTTTCTTCTCACATTTTCACCCCGAAAGACAAGGTAGATTCGCGAAACGATATAATCGCGATGACAATCGATGATTTGCGCGATAACCTGATAATATATAATGTAACAATTATGTAACGCACGGCGCGCGCGAGAGCGCATATTAAATACTTGCACGAGAAAACAATGTTGCCGCGAATAATAGTTGATAAATTATTTCGTTGGTAACCAGTTTTTGCTGTTATATAAATAAAATCATATAAATATCATCTAAATGAAACTTTGACGTCATGTTATCTTTAATTATATAGATAATAAAAATATGTATTAGCTTTACTAATTTTTTTTAGAATAATTTTCAGATAATTTTGATTTAGAATCAGAGCACATAAAAATACTTAAATAGTAGAATTTAAGCAGTAAGCGATAAAAATTTATGAATAAAAATATGAATACATATATTTTTATATCCCTTTTATAATTTACATGTTTTTAATATGACTGTGTTTACATAAGCGCAGTTAAAAATTATTATCTAGATGAATCGCCAAATAATTTTATCTTTTGTCTAGATATATTTAAAACTTCGACGAATTGACATATTTTTATCTCATCTTTATCTAGCTAATTTTAAAAAATCATCCGAGCACAATACTATTGGTAACACTAAACCCTGTGAAACCTCGCACGCTTATCTCTCCGCGATAACCTGGGTCTTGATTTATATCGCTTGAATAAAAAGAGGGAGAGTGGGAAACCGGAGTAATCGCCATATAACATAATAATAATGAGGACCGATAAAGTTCTCTCCTAGTACCGGTCAAACGCCTACGACATACAATAAGACACGATAGCAGTGTAGCAATATAGCGATTCGTGACTGCGCGTCGGAGCGCAATGATCCTTACGAAGTGACTTTCCTCCCGAGATAACATCGAGGTTACATGAAAACTAAATGGCAAAAGACGTTGAGGGATTATAGTTCCTGCTTCGCCATGTAGGCAGTTAGCTCTAGCTAGTAAGAATCGATGCTTTCTAAACGTTTTATGATCCGAAAGTGTAGCGACGCGAATTTTTCTCGCAGAGCGGCTCGATCAATTTTACAGTCCTATACGAACATGATAATGCAATACGCGTTTTATATGATACGATTCTGTTCCCAAGTGTCGATCCAACTAATCGATTGATTCGTGAAAAATGACTTCAATTGAAATCACAATCGGCGATTAAAGACTGAATAAAATTTGCATTGCTTAAAATATACACTCGATCGGGTTTCGCAAAGAGAAATAATAAGGGGGAATAACAAAGTCAAAGAGAAAGAGAGGGAGAAAAAGCGGAAGCTGGAAATACAAACGACACGAGGCGGATAAGAAAGAGGCGGTCTCGTTGGCGGAACCGGTACTTCTGCATTCGAAGGCGTAGCAATGAAGCCATTAATCGTCTCTTTGAGCTATACGTTGCTTGCAAATGTCTTTGGCTCGTAACTTTTCATACTTATTAGACCAGAAGATTCATTAAAAAAAAAAAAAAAAAAGATTTTTCTGGGTTCAAACTTTTCGCGAATTCTACATATTTGCACATTTCACCTTGTTATATTCGAAATCTGAACTTCTTTAAAATCAAAGAGTACTTATTTTCAAAATGTATATCATTATTTTATTAGAATAATTTAATAATAATTGCGTCAGAAAATATTTCTTTTTAGGACATAGAAATTTACGACATTTTATACATTATTTGAAAAACATCTATTTAAAAGGTTTCATTGCTATAATGTAAAGATACCTATTTTGTGCGTTTAAAATGAAATGAGAATCGATTTTAAACGTAAAAATACGCGAAGAAAAAAATGAATGAAAAAGAAGTGAAAATAGACAAGGCGCTTTAATGAAAACGAGTTAATGATCCATGGAAAACGTAAATGCTCGGCTAACGGTCGGTCGACAAGTGATCATTACTTATATAGTTATCGTTATAGAATCGGACTAAATAATTACACTTTTCATACGATTCTATAGCTATTAACTCAAAATACGCTAACAAAGATCTCGTGAGAGATCTAATTACGATCAGATCCAAATTACACGTAACACAAATGACATAATATTTCAAGCAAACAAAAAATTCTAACATCTATATCTACGCAAACGTCGATTTAATCAAATAAAATTGACTTTAATGCGAACGTATATTTGTTTTAATTTTAGATTACTTTTAAGTTTTAGAAATCTCTTAGCTTTAATACAATATCGATATCTAGTGTCTATATATTTGCATTAACAGTGTCTAAGAATTTGTGCGAACGAGACTCTCGTGAATGAATAAAAATGTAAAATGTATTTATAAATGAAGTTGTATACGTACGACAGTAGGACAGGAGTTTTAATCGGTGTGTTTTTTCTTTTTTGTTCTCAGGACGAAGTAAGTAACGACCCACGGCGGTTACGAGCCGTGCTCGGGCTAAGACGAGACTAAAGACGAAATGGCATCGGGGAACGTGAGCTTTTCTGAACGAAGCCGTTATTACGCTTATTGTGTAAGCTTGCCCGATCGCTGACATTTCTGCGTTAAATCGATATCTCAATGACGCGAATGGATATCGAGTAAGACGACATTATTTCCACTTTTCTTTTTACGATTTGCATATGTGTTATTACATAATTAAATTCATGTAGATACGTTTATTTAACATTAAAATTACCGTCATCACTTAAAGAGGTATATATTATTATTTTTGTGAGTGCTTATAAAAATATCCGCATCAGTTCAATCCTTCTGGGGATCTATACTTTTCTCTGTTTTTTGTACTTACGCTTAATAACTTTACTCAAAATGAAATCTTTCAAAATACATAGACATATTAATATCCTCTTCAACGCATACTGTCATAAGCTTATTTTCTCGTCATACTTTATCCCGTCGTATCTTAGTCATCTATGCTTTTGAAACGCCATCAACGTTGCAGCGGGAACAGCTGTAAATTGCAAAAACCTCGCAACATAAATAATTCGAAAATGTGGGTTACAAGGTATCGCTATTCTGCTCGCGATATCGTATATTTGCTCGCGGCGACTGTAGGAAAATACATAAAGCGTCTATGCGGAATTCGCGTCCTGGAAAACGAGAATTGATACCGAGTCAACGACGGGGCCTTAAAACTGTCAATCGGGAGCTGCACTCGGGAGAGATAGATAGAGAGAGAGAAGGAGAGCACTCGTAATTCTTGTAAGTCGAGGAATGACTTGGGAGAATCGACGAGACTTGCTCCGACTCCGTGTCGACACGCTTAGCCTCGTTTGTCCCAAGTAATGGTCGCAGTCATAATTCAAGCTGCTCCGAGCTCGTTTCTATATCCCGATGTATACCCGCACAAGGACGGAACGATCAGATTCATGGAAAAGACGGGTCGATCAGCTCTCGGTGTCCTCCTCGAAACGATCTTGGAGCTATTTACACGGTTTGCCGTACGAGAAAACACGATTTATTCTTGATCGACCAATCCTTCATTTCATTCGATTTTTCTCTCTCGTCGTGTTATCCGATATTTCATGTTTCATATTCGGTACTTATCATTTTTTTTATTTATTTTGTTCTGCACAATTGTATTGTCGCTTAAATTATTTATATAACGTGTCCAGTTAAATAATGGTGGAAAGTATTTCTGCAGATGAGGAAATTACGATGTAAAGAGAAAGGAAGCGACGAAATGAAATTAAAATTCAAAACTTCTTTACAAAATTAGCATTTCCGAGCCTCATTATAACTGCATTACGCTCTTGTTTGATGTAGCTAGGGCCATTATCGAGTTTGCGCGACTAATCGATGAAAATTAACCAAAGTGCGGGCTCCGTCAACTACATCGAGTCAATGGCCTTAATGACTTAATGACACGTCGTCTTCTTTTATATCATTCTGTTAACCCCCGCCTTTTAACGAGGATAATAATTATCGGCGATAAATTTCACAACGCTGATTTTACGTTCAATGCATTCACTATTGGACCGTCTAGTAATGTATATAATGAAGGTAAGTAAGTAGTATAAATACAGGAGAATTTTCCTTTTTAATTATATATATCTCGTGGCTTTATCTCTTTCACGGAACAATCATTAGAGTGTCCCAACTAATATTCATAGACATGTGTGCAGTAATAATCATGAAATTCTCCAGATATATATTTATACGTTTAGAAAAAAAAATGATGTATAACTGAAAATATAGGTCAATGTTTTCGAAATTCTAAGTTATGCGACTAGACAAAAAATATTTAAATTTGATTCGATCAATCTTTATTAGAATGACATACTTAATAATACTTAATAATACGTCGATACTCACTTGTAGAAAAAATAACGCGAAGGACGGGAGAAAAAAAAAGCATAGAATGCAAATAAATGTTATTTATAAACCGTTCAAGGAGCGTGTTGTATTTTCGCGTCGCACGAAAAAAAGAGAAAGAAACAAAGAGCAATAAAGAAAGGCGCTGCTTCTGCATTAAACGTGCTTTATTAAAATGTAATAATCATTTATTGCGTGTCTTTCGCGCGACGAAAGCTTATCATTAAGCGGTCAGTGCTAGATTGCCGCTGTAATTATCAGATGACACCGGATGACAAGCGGGAGAACCGCCTTTAAAGTCATGAATACTTAAATACGAACCGAATGAAAACACGCGGCCGCGCTTTCTATCTCCGGACAACTTTGTACATCAGGCTCAGCTTGTCACTTGCATCACTTGGCGCAAAATGTCCCAGTTGGCGCGCGAGCAATTTTAATACATCCACAGCTACAATCTCACCGTATGCGATGGCCTCATTGCCGTTTCCCTTCCGGCGATCTTTCGTATATATCTGTCGATGGTGGACCGCGCGCGTAATTAAAAAAAGACGTGACGAGCAAGACGAGGTGCGCTTTAGCAGTCTCGTTATCAGGGCGATGCGGTTCGTAATCGTACGATTTACGCGTAGTTAATATATTTAATTGCCGCATTTGATCTATCTAATAGAAGCGATTTATCGGAGAGAAAGAGACTTCCATTACCGGCCTATAAAATTGCATCATCTACGGCGATTATCGATTCTTATTGTGCTGTCGACGCGATTTATACGGAAAGTTCCGATTTGAAACGCTAATAATTATCATGGCGCTCGAGATCCGCGTAAAGATCCGCGTTAGAAGATAAAAGATGTGAGATTCGAACGAGAAAGCTCCGCGCGCCGTGTCGAGAGATTATTATTAATTTATGACTGCGTGAATTTTCTTAAATATATTATGCGTGTATTGTTTCTCGTACTTTCTAATTTAGTCAATTGCTATTACAATCTAGCTTTCTACTATTTTCGGTCCTTTTTTTCGCGCCGATCTGATAATTTATTTCCACATATTTCTCTCGAGAGAATATTATATGACTGGATGAAATTTATCTAAAATGTTCTGTTATTAATCTCGCGCAACACCTTTCTGTTTGCATTGCGTTCCGATTGCATTGCACGAAACATAGTTCGATTCGTTTTCTACAATCGCGTTTTACTCGTGTTGTGTCGAAATCAATTTAATTTTCGCTTTAGATTCCACGAGTGTACGAAACAAAACAGTTCGTTCTCCGAACACGATCTTTGGCCGTTCGCTTCGCATGGAATTCCAGTATATTTACAGATCATTTTTAACAATATTCCAGACATTTTACTCTCCCTTTTCTCGTTCTCCGCATCGTCTTCTCGGTTCTGCCGAAGATACGGATGTAATTAAAAGCAACGTGACGAGCAAGTCGAGCAGCTGACTGAAAGGGCGGTCGTAGAACATAGCGCTGTCAATTCGTTACGCGAAAGTTGCCCGAAGGCGAAACTGGAAGCCGCTAGAGCTGACATATCTATCCGAAGAACGGAGCGAGAGAAGTATAGTAGTCATTTTTGGAATCGAACAATTTTCCGATTTGTTTTGCGATTGAATTTTGTAATTTTGTAATTGACGTCAGCCGACAATTTGTTCCAACGCGACACTTTTCATCGTTTTGTTCTCGAAAAGGCGAGTCGTGTATGTCTTCACATTTTACAACAAAAGGATTCGCATGTAAATGAGCAATCAGCGTAATGCCGGTATTTTTATTCTAATCACTTAGTCCGTGTCCCGTGTAACGATCCGGCTGATTAGCAATGTAAATGTCATTTCGCTGTGCAATTGCGCGTGCGCGCCCGCGACAGAAAAAGAAATGCAATTAAACTGACAGACCGAACTACGAGCTGACGTCTATCTCAGGAGTAGGACAAGGAAAATTAGTGTTTCTAGCGAGGCCGCGCGTCCTCGGTATTCGAGATGCTTTTGGGGTTGCGCTTAACAGAAGAGAGAGGGTGGAGCGTCTTAGCATTATTGGTTTTACCCTCGAGAGTCCTTGGAGAGGGATTACCGTAAGTGGGAAGGGTGAGAATGAGCAGAGAGCCTCTCTCTCTCTCTCTCTCTGTCGAGAACGCGAGAGATGCTCTTCACCGTTTCCTACGCTTGACTGCAAGACCGTCTCGCTTAAGTAATTAGACTGCCGACTGTTCGTTACCTCAGTAATTCCTGAGGAGGAGAAAACTGCCAAGGATGCGTACGTTAATGCAACTAGCTAATACATCACGAGCGAGCTTTGCTGGATGATTTAGAAAAATTATTTTTTTTTTATCTCGCACATTTCGCTGTTCTTTGTATCTTATTGGAGATTTATTCTTATTCCAAGAAAACGTCGAAATTCGACGACAAGAAATATCGCACCTATCTAAAACGCAGTGTAGCTTCATTAATATATTTCTCCTTCGAAATCTCCAGCACGTGTGTCTCCGATGAAACGGCAAAAAGAAGTGACATCGTGAGCAGTCGCAACCTTGTAAGGTGTTTTAGAGACGCCGTCGAGTACATTCGACGAAGATGAATTTCTTACGACAATTTTTATGACCACACACGTGTGTCTAGAAATCGATCGCGGCCGTAAGAGCCGGTTGTAAGAGCCAATCAGAGACGGGAAACTAACGACTCGACGCGCGGATGCTTGATCGTGCGGAACAAACTGCTTTTCCGATAATATTACTTAAAGCTCGCGTACTATGATCTTCGCTTTGAATGATTACGCGTTGTAAAACGCGTTTTCACTTCGAAACTCATACGTGCCGGACGACCCTCGTTGCTCGACAGTAATTTATACTACCGCGCAACACACAACATTCGATAATTATCATTTGCAATGCAACTTATACTCCGCGAGTATGTAATTTCTCATCTCTCTTCCTCTCTCGGCCGATCGTTAAAGAGCCTCGGTTCGCCCAGATAAATTGTGTGCCAGGTAAATAGATCGTAATCAAGTAGTTCTCTCCCTCTTGTCATATTTTACGCCTCATTGGTTTTCATAAAAATTCATATTTAGAATTAATAACTTGCTGACATGTCCACAAAAGTGCAAAAATCTAGAACACATAATATCTTTGAAAATAAAACAGACCGTTTGTGAAAGGAAGGTTTTTTCGCAAAATTTCGCATAGAAGCAATTTTGGTTTTTTATATAAAACATTTCTCGATGGCGCAATTAAACGCCTAATTTCCCTAACTTAGAGAGAGATAATATATAATACGATCGATAGCGCTCGAAACCACTTGAATTTAAAGGGCCGAAACAGTCGTCAAATTTATACGTCCATCCATTCACGCGCGAGACAGAAGAGTGGTCGATGATTCGCGAAGCGGCCTCGAAATTTTCGCGGAATATTCAGCAGATCGGCCCGCCCGATAACGCCGGTGTTGATCGTTATGATTTGATTTATATGCAATTACACAGCCGCCGGTGGTGCGCGTATAAACCGCGGTGTACGTTCGTGCCGTGCGAGGCGGCGCGCAGTGTTTACCTTGTGAATTATTATCGGGAATCACACACAAGAGAAGCAGGGAGTCACTGCGGAGAAAAGCGAGTCGCGTTTAGAATGGCATATTTGCGTGGCCCTTGTTTGGCGAGATGCCTTATGTGTGACGCGCCGCGCGTTTCCCCTACAGAATACATAACGATCTAAAACAAACTTTAACTCTTCAGAGATTTCATTTTCTTATTCAATCAATTGCGTCGATCTTTTTTGAAACTTTATGTATATAATTGTCAGGGTTGGGTAATAACGAAAAAAATTAAAAAGTCGATAGATTTTAACTTAGCTTAGTTAATTTAAAATGTATTCATTTTTAGCTTCAACTAGTTATTTTTGGCCGTTAAATTTTGTTGTCTGAATACATTATTGGTTTTTTTTTATAAGTTATAAACGTATTATCTTTAAATTAAAGTATTATTAATTTTCATGTTCATTTGTCATCAATTGTAATTACCAAAAAATATATTTCTGTATAAAAATCAAAATTATTTCCTTGTTATTATAAATTTTAAAAGAATTAACAAACAAAATTCTAATTTAATATAAATAATGTTTTTAAAAATAACTTTTGATTTAACTTCAGTTAATTTAATCTTAACTTTAACGGAGGTAATTTTCTGTTCATTTTAACTTAACTAAATTAATTTTATAAGTAACTAACTTCAACTTAATTTAGTTTAAAAAAATCATTAATTTACCCAACCTTGATAATTGCATACAAAATTATGATTATAATACATAATTGTAATTAAAATTATCTCTTGCATAAAGAAGATGAGTTTATTATAAATTACGTCAATTTTTTTTTTTTTTAACTTTATATATATAATTGTATATATAAAATTATGATTTTATATATAATTATAATGAAAATTACCTCTTGGTGTGCGAACGGCGCGGCTAAAATTGCGCGTGTTTACGCGCCTTAAGATACGCAACGTGGCGCGGCAACAATTACACGTATAATTTAAAACCGTCGCTGCCAGGTCCGTCACGGCGATTCCGCGCAAACGCACGCATCCGAGATAGCAGGTAGAACCGAAAGACGGAAGGATTTACTTCGTCGGGAGAGATCCTTCCAGTCGGACGTTTATTCCGTCGACGAACTTTCCGACCCCGGCTCCTCCCAAACAACCCGGCTTGTTACAGAAGACACTCTCGCGCATATAATAACCGGACTTAGACCCACAACGCGCAAACACCGCCGAGAGGAAAAACACTCGGGAGAAACTAGACAATAAAAGTTGCCGTAAAACTTGCGCCGGCCGGTTCGTTAATTTCTCAGATTTATCGGCGTGTAAACTTGCTGAATCAATGTCTGTCCGAGACTTTTCACGGCGGTATTAAAATATTGTTGAAAATCTTTAAAAAGAGGACTTCTCGCACATTGTCATCTGTGGAAGATCCGATTTTATCCGATAATATTTGCTGAGAAAAAATCAAGTATTAGAATAATGAAAGATTGACTTGCGGAAAACAAGTCTTGTGTCCAAATAAAAATATACACCCTTGTATCTTCAATATATCTATCTTGAAAAAAAATATCGATTATTTTACGTATTTTTGACATGTATTTTTGGCGAAAAACTCAATTTCATCTGCAGATAGACGTTCTTGGACGAAAATATTGACAGATATGAGTTAACGCTAGGATCTTCTCGTGTTGCAGGTCCACGTACGAGAAGAGTGAAGAGGACGGATGGACGCGGTGGTGGTACCCCTGAAGAAAAACGTCCCAGGACGGCGTTTAGCGGCGAGCAGTTAGCGAGGTTGAAGAGAGAATTCGCGGAGAACCGATACCTCACGGAAAGACGGAGGCAGCAGCTCTCGAGGGATTTGGGCCTGAATGAGGCGCAGATCAAGATCTGGTTCCAGAACAAGAGGGCGAAAATCAAGAAAGCAAGCGGCCAAAAAATCCTCTCGCGCTCCAGCTGATGGCACAGGGACTTTACAATCACTCGACGGTACCGCTTACTAAAGAGGAGGAAGAACAGGCCGCGGAGCTCCAAGCGAAATGACGTATGCAAAGTTAAACGGAAATATTCGACGAAATGTTAGTAAGTAACTTTGAGCCCTCAATTTTCGTATTTCACCCCAAAGATGTTACAAGCGAAGATCAAATTATCCTCTTTATTTCGTTTTAATCCTTCGCGTCGAAAAATCGAGAGAAGGCAAATTCAAATCTCTGGAAAATATACTTGGATAGTTAGATTAAAAAATTCTTTCAATACGAATAAAAAAACGTTTGATAATATTAAAATTTCACGGAGCGATCTTTTTTTTTTTTAATCAACCATTTTTTACAAAAGGGAATCTCACGTGCGGATATCACATAGAAAATATTTTTGTCCAGTTTACTAATTATGCAAGTTTCTGAAAGCAAGTCATAATTAACCAAAGCGGTGTAAATTTTCGTGTTATTTAAGAAAAAAAAAAGATAAATATGTGGTATATTATATACTTGGAAGAGTCATATTGGCCAAAAAGAATTAATAAAAAAAAAAAAAAAGAAAGCTTGCTGAGCGGGCCGAAAGTCGTCTGCCATTTTTCTTCCTTAAAATGAAAGACTGGAGTATTTATTTCGTTAGATGTACTAGAGTGACAACTCGTTAGACAGCAAAACGAATCAACTCGAGGAATTTCTTCTGTTCTGTAATTAGAGCTTCCGAATAGAACAGCATTTTTGACGTAAGTCGCTCGTCCTCGTTCGACAGTTAATCGCGAGAAAAAAGGAAATTAGTTACCGAGATGGCTACGTGAATATGTTACGGTCGCGCGCCGTTTCTTGCCATCGCTTTGAAAGGTGAGAAGAAATAATATAAAAACGGCACACGTTCCTAGATCACAGCGTACACATGATTGGATCAGATTTTGTGTCGAAGGAAAGAAATCAACGAGATATATAGGATATACCGCAAATCTAATCAGATTTTCTGGGATATTCTATTCTTGTCGTAAAAAGGAGAAAAAACGCGGCTAATAATATCGCAATATCGTCGGAAGAGTGAAAATTTTTTCCAATCCTAATTATTATTATTAACGTAATTTTTCTCTCGCACGCACAAAATTTGATCCAGTTTAAGATAAAAAATAAAATAATGTGTTCGATTAGCGTACTGCGATGACATGCAACGGTTAATTTGTCACGAAGGAGATTAACAAGTGCCATTTTTTGCAATTTTTTCGGCAAGATCATTTACACGAAAACGGGGATCGCCTCGTGATGGAGGAACACAATAGGAATCGAGCGAATAAGGGAAGGAGCGGGAGAAATTAGATTTTACATTAATTTATTGTAAAAATGTAAGATATTATATAACGCGAAGAAAAACCTGGAGTGATTGCGACGTGCAATAGAATATTATACATATAGAAAGAGAAGCAAATAGAGATGAGCCATGTATAGGTGTGTTGTATATGTAATCGCGGAGCGACTTGTACATAATTTATCACTTAGCGGCGGCGTTGTGTCCCGATATAGACTGTTTAAAATATAACTTAGTTATTTATTTACGTATGATATGTATGAATCGTAGCGATCATACGAACGATCACGCGCGACAACTGATACTTGTAAGATTATTTAAATTCGAATTAAATATTCCCAATTATCAAGCCATCGAATATGATTTATTTTGTCCCTCTCTCGTTACGTGAATGTTTGCTCAGGTAAAGTATAATCTACGACAGCTGCGTGTGAAATCGAAAATTCGATTAATGAATGATTACGTGACGATATGTCATTTGCAAAACGTGTCGCACAATCGATGATTATAAATCAACTGTGTCACCGAAACGAGAAATAGTTTCGAATTATACCTAAATAAAATACTAGACATACCAATTTACCCAATAATATGATTGCTGAATTTTTTATAAAGTTATCACTAAAATTATTTTTTTCCTATTAAGATTATACGTATAGTAAATGTTTAATTTAAAAAAAATTACTTCCAGTTTTTTAAAATAATGAATAATGATGCACAAAATGATTATTGGATAGAACTTTGAAAATTATTGTTCCTATATGAAAATATATTTTTATCAACACTGATGTAAGACAGTGCATGAAGTGTAGATTTTGAAAAAATATTTTCAACTATGTGTGCGAAAATTATTTTTTTCCTATTAAAATTATACGTATAGTAAATGTTTAATTAAAAAAAATTACTTTCAATTTTTTAAAATAATGAATAATGATTATTGGATAGAACTTTGAAAATTATTGTTCCTATATAAAAATATATTTTTCTTAACACTGATGTAAGACAATGCATGAAGTGTAGATTTTGAAAAAATATTTTCAACTATGTGTGCGAAAATTATTTTTTTCCTATTAAGATTATACGTATAGTAAATGTTTAATTAAAAAAAAATTACTTCCAGTTTTTTAAAATAATTAATAATGACGCATAAAATGATTATTGGATAGAACTTTGAAAATTATTGTTCCTATATGAAAATATATTTTTATCAACACTGATGTAAGACAGTGCATGAAGTGTAGATTTTGAAAAAATATTTTCAACTATGTGCGAAAATTATTTTTTTCCTATTAAAATTATACGTATAGTAAATGTTTAATTAAAAAAAAATTACTTCCAGTTTTTTAAAATAATAATGACGCACAAAATGATTATTGGATAGAACTTTGAAAATTATTGTTCCTATATAAAAATATATTTTTATCAACACTGATGTAAGACAGTGCATGAAGTGTAGATTTTGAAAAAATATTTTCAACTATGTGTGCGAAAATTATTTTTTTCCTATTAAGATTATACGTATAGTAAATGTTTAATTAAAAAAAAATTACTTCCAGTTTTTTAAAATAATGAATAATGACGCACAAAATGATTATTGGATAGAACTTTGAAAATTATTGTTCCTATATGAAAATATATTTTTATCAACACTGATGTAAGACAGTGCATGAAGTGTAGATTTTGAAAAAAATATTTTCAACTATGTGTGCGACGTCGAGAGGCGAGCGAGAAAGATAGTCTGGGAGCATCTCTGCAGGGATGAAAGCGGCGGGGCGGGTCGATTCGCATTCAGCATTTGGCGCATGCTTTCCACCCCCGACTCGTTTCAGGCATCGTGCGGACTCCATGGAAAGCCCCTCCTGCCGACGAGATATCGATTGATTTACAGTCAAAAGGTGGCCATCGTTGATATCAAGCCAGCCACGCCTACGTTATACCGTAAACGCGTTGCGTGTGTTGCGTTACGCTGATCGCGAGTGGTGTCGGATTAACGCGTATCATACTTCATTTAACCCGGCTATCACTGTCCATACGAAACTCTGTCTCTTTCTGATCCTTTTCACGTATCTCTTTATTACATCGCTTACGAGAAATATTGAAAATTTACCGGGGGAAAAAAACTACAAGTTTATTTCCTGCGGCATTCTGCAAAAATATAATGCTGATTAAAAATAAATTATTTAATTAAGTAATATAATTTGTAACAGCTCTTTAGAAAATTTTAATCTGCAAATAAAAAGGCAATAAGAGCTAAATAAGTCCTATACTAGAATTATATTTGTGAAAAGATTTATAACATAAATTATTGAATATTATACAGAAGTAAATCCGATTCGTCGATATCGAATTTACTTCTGTATAATATTTAATAATTTATGTTATAAATCTTTTCACAAATATAATTCTAGTATAGAACTTATTTAGCTCTTATTGCCTTTTTATTTGCAGATTTTAATTAAGTAATTATTTGTTCTATAAAATAAAATGAGAGGAATTGTACTTTTGACATAAAATTAAACCGACTAAAACTTTAGTGCAGATTGAACGTCAAATATTTTGATCGCCAGAAATTCTTGAAAGTTGTGTATCTCCGATGAGAAAAACATCGAAGCTCGAACGCAACTGTCAAAAGGGACGACTGGTAAGTAATAGGTAACATTAACGTACAAGCTACGGCAGAGTGAAGGACTGACATGACGAATAATCGACAATAGTCACTTTCGACTAGACTTCCGTTATACCCTCGTCCACGAGAAGAAATGGCTCTCTTTAACGCTGTAACGATTAGATGTATCGGTATTTTTTTTGACCTAGTATAAAGTTTTTTTACGAGATGGAATATAATATGATTAACCATTATTATCTAATTCTGAAATAAATAAAATTGATAAAGTCTGCAAGTTAGATGACTAAATGATTGACAGAATAATTTAGCTTACAGAGTAAAAGTAAAAATGATAAATATTGACAAGTTCAACTATTTACAGGAATTTTCTTAAGCGATCCTTTATAACTTATAAGCAGTTTTCTTATTCAAGAACCTTATAATCTTAAAAAACAAGAACTTTGTAATCTTAAAAAAAACATATGTTAAATCTAGTCGTTCTTAAACACGTAGATTTTTTCGCACTTGGATTTCTTCACTGAAAAAAAGCTATTGATTTCAAATAAATGTGTATTTCAATAGTGCCATTAACACCATTTGTTTGAAACAAATAAATATTTATCCGTTTTGAAAAAGGATTTCTTCATCAAATAAGTATTTTTTCGCTGTTAATGGCACCATTGAAATAGCTATTTATTTGAAATCAATAGCTTTTTTCAGTATTCAAGATTAAGTATATAAATACCGAAATTGGCCGCTCAGGAATGTACCTTATAATCTTAAAAGAAACATATATACGTGAAATAATCTAGTCGTTCTGAAACTTTGTAGTAGATTTTTCTCGCACTTGGATTTCTTCAAGATTAAGTATAAATGCCGGAATTGAGCGGGTCTCGGCGCCGCTCCCGGGAATGTATGGAAATCCATGCCGGCCTCTCTTTCTCGGTGACTAATAATAGCCGAGGAGAGGACGGCGACCGATCGGGCCGACTCCTCGGGATCCGGTCAGCAGGCCCAATACGTCCCTGTCAGATTAGAATCACGGTATTTGACAGACTCGCGCTTCTGTCTGTCCGTACGTCCGGTGGATATATGTGGATGGTCTCTCGATCTCGGAACGAGGGAGGTCAAACGTCACGCCAGATCCATAAAGGCGATCGCGTTCCTTTGTCCCGGAATCTTTACAAATGAGATACAAGCCAAGAGAAAAGCGGATGCACGTCGAGGGGGTATATGCAGACATTAACCCCGGTCGACCCCCGACATTCTTGAAGAAACGCGTATATTCCTCGCGAGCGAGAGGACGGGCAACTCGATTATGCATCCGCCTCGCTTGTGCAACGATCTTTCGCTACTTCGTACACTCGATAGGGATCTGCCTACACGTCCGCATGTATAACGGAATCGAAGACAGGAAATTAGGCCATTTGTCGGCGAATGATGAACGAGTTTCTTCGAATATCAAATTTTTTTCTCACTTTGTAACGTGGTGAGCTTTTTTTTCTTAAATGCGCGTGCTTAAGAGATTGATCGATGGATTTGAAAAATTATAAATGATTATTGTAAGTAAAGTTTTATTGCTCTTTACTTTCCTCGATAAATAACGATTTCGACGTATTTCAACTACATCTATAATGAACGCTCTATGGTAATCGTTCCTGGTAAAATCGGAGCAATAGTATCTATACCACTTTTTTAACCCGGTTATTGGATTGATAAGAAAACGCTGGGATCATTATCTAAATATCGCCGTATTTCCTGTTGCTTGTGTAGCTGGCCTTCTTATATTAATTGATTGAAACAGGAAATTGAAGGCATTTAACGGATTTATTTCTCTTACCATAGAGTAATAAACGAGCATTGCATCTCTGTTATTCAATAAGGCGTCTGTGCAATTAATATCTTTGAGAAGATAATCAGAGATTAGTTAATGAATTAATTTACACAGTTAATTATATTTTCAAAGAATGTAATTTAAATATCCTACGGAGCTCTATATCTAATCTTGCGAATATCATTATAAAATAGCAGGGAGATGCTAGGATTAATTATTATAAATAACAACTGATAGTACTTAACGACGGTTGTGTATTATATTTATGATAGTTACAATCACGTCGTTAATACTTGTTTAATCAGTGAATGCGATCATCTACGGTCGGGGCGAAATCTACGTTTCAATGCTTAATGGTTTGGATAATCAGAGATTAGTTAATGAATTAACTTACACAGTTAATTATTTTCAAAGAATATGATTTACCTACATATCCTACAGAGCTCCACATCTAATCTTGCTAATATCAATATAAAATAGCAGAGAGGTTCTTATAGATTAATTATTGTAAATAACATTTAATATTCAGTACGGTTGTACTATATTTATGATATACATATAAAAGGCAATAAGAGCTAAAATTAAGTTCTGTTATTAATATTTATTTGTGGAAAAAAATTTCGTCACAATATAACATCTTACTTGATAACAGCAATTGTTAATATGTCTATAAAATCATTATATAAGAAAAATTAACATTAAAAGATAAGTAAATTAATGAAAATGGACTTACAGAGTTAAATCGAGTAAGATGTTATATCGTGACGAAATTTTTTTCCACAAATAAATATTAATAACAGAACTTAATTAGCTCTTATTGCCTTTTATATGTATATTAATTTTCAAAGAGCTGTTACAAATTTTTTTATATATTTATGATAGTTACAATCACGTCGCTAGTTCTTGTTTAATCG